GAGCTCTTTGGCTATAACTCGACTCACTGTGTTTGGAGGAAGAAAAATGCTGACTATGACCCTAAGAACACCATCCCTACAGTCCAGCACAAAGATGGAATCATTATGCTTTGGGGCTGTTTCTCTGCTAAAGGTACAGGCCGACTTTGTCGCACTGAGAGGCCAATGGACGGGGCCATGTATTGTAATATCTTGGATGAGAACTTCCTTCCCTCGGCCAGAACACTGAAGATGGGTCGTGGATGGGTCTTTCAGCATGACAATGACCAAAAACATACTGCCATGGCAACAAAGCAGTGGTTCAATAAGAAGCACATTAAGGTCATGGAGTGGCCTAGCCAGTCTCCAGGCCTTAATCCTATCAAAAATGTATGGAGGGAGCTGAAACTTCGAGTTGCCAAGCGACAGCCAAGAAACCTTAAGGATATAGAGAAGATCTGTAAAGAACAGTGTACCAAAATCCCTCCTGAGATGTGTGCAAACCTGGTAACCAACTACAAGAAACGTCTTACCTCTGTGCTTGCCAACAAGGGTTTCTCCACCAACTACTAAGTCATGTTTTGCTTAGGGATCAAATACTTATTTTACTCACTGAACTGCAACTCAATTTTTAACATTTGTATCATGTGTTTTTTCAGAATTTTTGGTTGATTTTCTGTCTCTATCATTTAAAACGCACCTATGATAAAAATTATAGACCTTTTTATTTCTTTGTAAGTGGGCAAACTTACAAAATCTGCAGGAGATCACATAATTATTTTCCACACTGTAACAGTAAACTACTCCAAAGAAGAGGTAGAAAGTAGCCTTGCTTGTGCCACCTGCTGACTGAATAATATTCGTATTAATTTTTTTATATCTGCTACTATAAAGTAAGACATACAATTCTCTGCATATAGCAAAAACAGAAAACATAAGCTTAAACATTTCAAAATGTATAGATATATACTGTATTTCCTTGTAATAAGCGATGTTGCCCTACCCTGCAGCACTCCTCTGTCTCTCACCACATACATAATCCTTATATGCTGGAAATTGTTGGGGATGCGTCTTATAGAACATTTTTGCCTTGGTTAAAGTGACCCTGTCACGAAAATAAAACGGTTCAAATGGATATGCCTGAAAAAGAAGTGTAAATAGTACCCCCTACCATATGTTGCTGAACATAGTAGAGTTGTGAAAGTCTTTGGGAGGAACCACTGAGCACTGTGAAGAATACAGGACATCGACACTCCTGCAGAGTGATGGGGAGCCACGCTGATTACTATCCGATCATTGGATCACCATGATAGCCAATCATTGTGATCACATGGGTTTGTTTACAAGAGAGCAGTCAGCGGTGTGAAAAACAGAAGAAGTAAGCATTAAATCTCTTCTTTTGCAGGCCTATAATTTTTAGTTTTATTTTCATGACAGGATTGCTTTAAAAAGAGAAATTTCAAAGTAATTTTAGCAAAGTGAAAATTTCATTCAAGGCCAATTAAATTCTGAACCTTTTTGCAGACTTTTTCTTTGCAGATGACCATGGTGACAGTTTAGATCAATCTGAATAAGGTAAAACTGCCCATGTTAAATTGACCTTTAATAGCAACTTGGCCTTACTAACCATTACTGAAAAATGACATGTGACCTCTTGGAATGTCCAGGCAGCCATTTTGTGTATCATTGTGAACATAGGCTGACACCTCAAAACAGATGAATGTAATATTGCAGTTACTATAGAAACCATTTCCCTCCCGTGTATCCTCCGACTGGTATGTGCACTAATCAAAATATGCATTATCAGAAGCAGACACAGAGGGCTTTGTTAAAATCTTGTTTGGGAATATTTCACAGTTTTTGAGGAGAGTCTGCTTTAATTGGACGTGTAATTAAAAAGACATTTTATGCACATTAAAAGTTCCTGTAATCACAGACCATTCATAGTTAAAACTTGGCTGCAAATTAATTCCTAGTCTAGACAATCCAGACAAGGTTTACCTATGGAGTGGTTTATGTAATAAAGATAAGTATATTAAAGGTATATCACAGTATGTAGGAATCTAAGCATCCCTGACCTCTAACCTATCCCAAAAACTAAACCTTCATAGTTACATAGTATTTGAGGTTGAATAAAGACATAAGTCCATCAAGTCCAACCTATTGCGTGTATGCATTTATGTTTGAGCAGGTGTGTGCGTGTGTATTAGTCCATTTATGATTTTGCTCCTAGGTGTACCTGTACCCCTGTATATTATGGTCTCAGAGGAACTCGTCCAGGAGTTTCTTAAATGATTCCACACTCTTAGCTGAGACCACTTCCTGCGGCAGCGAGTTCCAGAGTCTTTGTTACGGAGCTAACCGTAAACAGTTTGTTACTAATGTTGTTGTCGCCCTTGAATAGTTTATACAAGAAGATCATGTTCCCCCTTAATCTCCTAACCTCCAAAGAGAACATATTTAATTTTAACAACCTTGTTTCATAGTTCAGGTCCTCAAACCCCTTAATAAGTTTGGTTGCCCTCCTCTGGACTTTTTCCAGCTCAAGGACATCCTTTCTGAGTATTGGTGACCAAAACTGGACCGCATACTCCAGATGTGGCCGAACCAGTGATCTATAAAGTGGCAAAATTATAGACTTGTCCCTGCAATACATTCCCTTCTTAATGCAAGACAGGACTCTGCTAGCTTTGTTTACAGCAGTCTGGCACTGCAAGCTGTTCTTCAATCTATGGTCTATAATTACCCCCAAATCCTTCTCCGTTCCCGACTTCCCTAGTGGCACACCCATAAGTGTATAGTCCATTTGCCTATTTTTTACTCCAAGGTGCATTACCGTACATTTATCGACATTGAACTTCATCTGCCATACAGTTGCCCACTCCCTGATTTTCTCCAGGTCCTCCTGTAATGTTACAATGTCTGAATCCGTGTCTGCTACCCTCCCAATTTTCATATCATCAGCAAACACTGAGACATGGCTACTCGCTCCCTCCCCGATACCATTAATAAATAGGTTAAAAAACCTACAACAATCACTTAAGAAAGGGGAGGGCAGAAAAGCACATGTGGGGGATTAAATGCTGCATTTGTATCACATGATCAGAACTGTATGAGCCTTAATCTGAAGAATGTAGGCAATGTCAATCCAAAATAAATTATTTCAATTTGGATAAGTTGGAATTAGCTCTATTTTCAACAAAGGTGGAAAAAAGGTGTCTATAGGTGACCACTCTCTGCCACCTTTACGTTTAGGTTAGGTTCAGATCGGAGTGATCCCGGCACAGCGGTTGCACACAGCGGTTGCCGCGCAGCCCCATTGATTTCAATGGGGTTACATCTGCGAGGCAAATTGCTGAAAAAAAGGCAACACATGACGCGCAGCTTTTTGTTTTTTTTAGCTGTGTTCAATTGTGCGACTGGGGTGCCGTTAGAAAATAATGGCACTGCCAGCTTGATCAGCTGTGGTGGGTGACTTTGTGTGGTTTCGTGCATGAATGCCGCGCAGTCACCGATCATGCAGGTGTGAAGCTAGCCTTAGATGCAATGTCATTTGGCTAGTTATTAGATAGAAAAATAAACACGTCAGATACACTATTTAACCACCAAACAAAATAGGATTCAGCCTTTGAGCAGCAATGAGGAACAAGTTGATACATCAAATAAAAAATAATATATAGGCGTACACACACACAACTCACCTGACCTTAACCCTCTCTCTACAAGAACTCTGACATTTCCCCAGCACTAAAATTAACAATTAAAAAGAAACATCTTTCTCCGCAGGGAACCTGAAGGCTTAATCCTTAATTTTACATGAACGCTAATACTAAAATAGACCCCTCAGTTACTTTACTCATTCCAAATCTCTATTTTTCATCATATAAGAAGCAGTCTTAAGGGAGTCCAGCAATTTTCATTAGGCTGAAATGATGCCGTCGGTCTGCAATAATAGGGAAGCATTGCTTCAGTTTCCTTCCTGTAATGTTCACACTGTACATTTGAACTTTGTAGCAGGACACAAGGTGAGGTTCTGCAGTAAGAGGCTAATTATTGTCAGATATTTGTGAACAAAATGAAGTCCTGCATAGACTAAGGCTTCATTCACATGTCTGAATAGGTCCCTACACTGGATTCCTGAAGCTGGAATCACAGGTGTATGCGGACAGCTTTGGCCACTCGGCCTGCACAAACCAATGACAGGAGCCACAGCTGTCCACTGCTGTTCACATTTATCTGCACATCCAATGGTTACCTGTGGCTGCAGACAGATGATCAGCCCTGGACGCAGACAGATTGCGTTCAGGGCCTTTTATCTGTCCCTAGCTGCAGGTAACCACTGGATTACAGATACATGTGAACAGTGGCAGGCCGCATACACCTGTGATTCCAGCCGCAGGAATCCTCTTTCCGGACCTATTCGGACATGTGAAAGAAGCCTTATGTGACTGAACTATCAGGCAACATTTCAGTCCATCAAATAGATGGTGACCTTGGATGGGGTCTGAACAAACATGTTGTTGTCCATCTAAAGAGAAAAGCAGATAAAAGCATTGTCAAGGAGAGTGCTGTGATCTCTGTAAGAGTTAATAAATACTTGAAAGTACACATTAGGTAGCACACACATATTTGTCATGAAAAATATATCTTATGCGGGGTTCACATTTGAGTAATCATGTTCTTTGTCCTTTCATGGAGCTATCCTGAAAATGGTGGTTGGCTGGCTATAATACTGATACACTGGGATCAGTATATTCACTGCCCTAGGAAAAGGCAAGCACATTTAACAACCTATCCTTCCCTAAGAGGGAAGCATCCCCAGGTCACATGGCATATATGCAAGTGATAAACAACAACCTCGGTCTCCTCTCCTATGGTAGCCTAAATGGCTAATCCCCACCAAGTTATATTACAGATTACATCAGAATCAGAATGTAAATTAAGCTATTGATGTGAAGGCATCTAATTATCTACTATGAAATGTTAAGTAGCTTTGTGGTTATAATATTGTCTCCACACAGATCGAAATGTACGAAAGAGTATCTCAGAAGCCCTCAGACCGCCATTGTGATTTCTCACGTCTAGCCAGAGTGCTTACGGGAAACGCCATAGCGTTGGTGCTGGGAGGAGGCGGAGCCAGGTAAGACATAAGGATTGAATCTGTTGTTTCACTTCCACCATCAACTGGGAAGCGATACAATCATAGCATGACTGTGTTTTGAAATGTAGTTAAAAAGCAATGCAGCCAACATGACTGGATTTGTGCAAGAATCTAAAACCTATTCATAAGGATTTGTTTAGGGCCGGCAGTAGCTTCCTGTGTACAAAGTGTGTACAAAGCAATGACAGGAGCCACTGCTGTCCGCCGCTCTTTGCCTGTATCTGCACATCCAGCGGTTACCTGCAGTTACAGACAGATGACTAGCCCTGGATATGGACAGATTGCGCTTAGGCCGGCCATCTGTCCCTAGCTACAAATAACTGGATGTTGCTGGATGTGCGGACTCATGCGGGTAGCGGTGGATAGCTGCAGCTCCTGTCAGCCTGTCATTGCTTTGTACAGGCTAAGCAGTCGCAGCTGTGTGGAACGGCCTGTGATTTCAGCTGCAGGAATCCACTGATTCTTGCCTCAGGTATCTGCCGACGGCCCTAAAAAAAAAAACATGTGATTGAGGACTAAATATTCATTCTTAAATTATTAGGCTTCCTTATGAAATATTTTTATGCTTCTCTCCCCATCTCCTGCATTGATTTAATGTTAACTTGTCTGAGTTTGACTCTTCACCATGAGAGATATGAGACGTCACCAGAAGTCTGATAGTTGCTGATCTGTCAACTGCCTAAACTCACACATGGTCTCTCAGTGTCTGAGTGAGCATAAGGTTATAAAGTAATAGAATCATGTCGTTAAAAAGCAATATAAACAACTATAGAGCTTTGTTATTTTGTACTGTTGTTCAGACTCAGGAGCTGGGAGGCCATGTGAAAGATCAATCCGTCATCAAGTGTGTGCTGACAGTAGGTACAGCAAAGATTCCTCATTATTCAATGCATGTACTTTGCTTTATAGCTACATTTTCAGATTTCTATTTCAATAAGAGGGACTTTCATCCCATTATGGCATGGGACATATGCAGGACTGTACACGAGTGTCTATGCATGAAAATAATCCCCTCCTCATAGAACAGAGTTTCCCAGCAACCTCTGGCCCAGAGCACAGCTGCTCTTGTTGGTACATGATGTGCTACTACCTCCACTATTAATTCCTCATTGGTCTTTCTTTCCTTAAACAGCTCTACATTGAGGTTCTTTTGTTCCTTCCCTACTTTGCCCGCTGTTAAATTCCCCGCAGAGGTTGCTGTACCAGCATATTGTGACGGTATAAACAGTTTATATTCCACTTAGAAGAACTGTGCTCTGACCATATTACAGGCTCGTTGATATCCTCCCATCCTGCAGGGGATATAAGTACGGAGTATTCAGAAATGCTCTTATAGATAAAACTCTGTTCCCTCCTAACACAATTCCACCCCCACATATCTCCTCATTGCGTAGGCCCGGCATCTGTTCCTGGCTCTCACTTAAAGGGCAAACGTCACATAGTCTTCTTCGCTGAGAGTGAAATCAAAATTTATGTGACAAGGAGACATGATGAACTGTGTCATTATATGAGAGAATGTGTGTGTCGGAGCAGAGGAGGCTGTAAGCTTCATCAGCATGGTTTACCGGGCACACACATCCCAGACCTGCCTGATTATATGTACATATATCTCTCCACGATTAAGGTGGAGAAACTGCTCGCTGACTGGCTGACATCCTGATCATATGGCTTCAGTAGTCTGAGTCACTGGGTTTGACAAATATCCCTTGCAGTGGAGCCCCTCCGCACTGCAGAGGTGGAATGCTCATTAGTTCTTGGCAGTACAAGAAGAGGTAGTATTACTACCCTGCTCCATTGATCTCCTCTAGTCCCTCCAGTCTGTGGGTGGTCTCTCAGTGTTCCCACATACAATGCTGAGCTATAAACCCTGCAATGTACATGGAGGCGGCGAGTGTGCGGCCCCAGCCGGGAGTGCCTTAGAGGGGAGGGTTTGCGGGAGTGGACACATAGATGGAGGGAGCCTGCCTGAGCAAGGAATAAGGATCATATTACTCATTATCTCTGCATCCGTAGACTTAACCAGCAGTTACCTCTTGCATTGCATGGGAGCCCCACTTCAAGGGTCTTTTTTTTTGTCTTTTGCTTGGAGTTGAGCTTTAAAGCAAATTATACTTTGGCAATGTAGAGCAAAGCAACAGGTTCCCTTCATTGCCCTCCTACCCACTATATACCATACATGCCTCTCATTCACACCCCTGCTATTCTGCTCAGCCGCCAGGAGCAAGAACGATTCCTGCTACTTTCAAGTATGGAGGAGGATGTGACTCGCTTTGTGTTGGTGCTCAGTGATTGGCCTAGCACTGTCACATGGGGGCTGGGAGATTTCTTAGCCCTGTGTAAGCTCTGAATGGAGTGACTCTGAACTTACACAGGACTTTTTTGCCTCACTCTTGGGAGCTAAATAGAGCTGAAAGGGAGGTATGTGCTCCAAGGGAGTGAGGTGTTGAAGGGATATTGTTGGTTTTCCCTGTATTAGTAAAGCACAAGTTCACTTTCAAAGCAGGACCAACACAGACACAAAATTATTTTGGATCCCTGGATTAGAGGATATGCTTTTTGCTAAAATAAAACCTGCCAGCGTTGGTAACAAGGGCAAAGTAAATGTTCAATGTAAAGATGAAGCAGAAAACGATGGAGAAATTGGAACCGGTAGAAAAGTTGAACAATGTCCCACTGATATAATATTTAAAGCTTTACACCACTTGTGCAATTTGGGTCAGAATAAGCAGGTTCAAGGGGTTCTCTTAGCAAAGATTAATCTAGTATGTCTGTCACTTTGCCCTCGAGACAACATATTCCAGCTCGCGCTCGATAAATTAATAATGAGTACAGACTGATATACCCAAAGGGAGCACTTAAGAGGCTGATTGCCTAGTATAAGCACTATACGAGTGTCCTGCATATCGTTCCTAGGGGATGATGCTTGTCTTCCCCCTCCTTCCCCACCCAGCTTGTCTGGGGAAAAACCACATTGTCCCATTTCTCTTATATTTCTTCTGTATTTCTACTTCAAGCTGCTTTACTAGAATCGAATTCTTCTCCATCAGTGATCTGCCCTTCATACGTCACATGATGGAAACGTCATCCGCCAGGGTGACACGTCAGCTGGATGATTACAGCTATACATCTGCTGTAATTACACCATATTATATTCATTTTGTAACTACCGAATACTGTTATGCTTCCATTGAACTCACAACGTAGACAAGACTAGAACACGCTTTAGTGAATATTTTGTGTTCTAATGATAATAATGATATTTAATGTGTGATTAGTGCAGGCCATTTACTTTTACATCTAACGCACAAATGCCGAGGTGTTCTCAAATATTATTATATTACACAGCAAAGGGGATCTCTTCTTTCATCATGCCATATTTAAAGGACATAAAAGAGAATCTGACCTGGTAAAATGTGGCAGCTGTAAACTCCCAGCATCCCCTCTTCCCCTGCTGTCAAAATCCAGAGCTTCTACTGTCCACTGAGGTTGTGGTATTTGGCAGTTGAATGCCAAGAGGGGGCGCTTGGCGCAGGGAAAGGGCAAGCATAATCTTTGCATAAGTCAAAGGACTTATGTACAGCCTCGGTAAAGGATCTAAGGGGGCTTCAAAGGTACACGGGTATCGATTTGAAGACTAACCCACAAACACTACAACTTCCCTGCATTATTGTTACCTTGAGGCCGGGACAGGTTTTTTTAACCCCTTCATGACTGAGCTTGTTTTGGTTTCTGTTCGTAAATGACTGACACACTTTTGACATTTTTGCTGTGTGATTCTTCCACGTCAGTAATATACTTTCTTACAAAGTGCACCCACACATATTATATATTGTTTTTTAGAGGACAGATAGGGCTATATATTTATATCACATATGTGTGTCTAACGCCTCACTTAGGACAAATACAAATTAAAAAAAGAGGAAAAAACGTTTAAAAAAACTTTTTTTCCCAGTTTTGATTTGTAGTATTTTTTTTTTAACAAAACCAGCACAGCTAAAAAAAAATGCAATACATACATTCATTTATTAGTCCCTTATTTTTTATTTTTTTACACTTTTCACTTTTTTTATACTGACAAATTTTATTTATTTAATTATATCAGGCAGTCATTGTGAATTAATCTCACTATTACTGCTTGATAAATTAATACATTTTTTTTATTATCAGGCTGCTTCAAACTTCAGAACAGCCGATAATAAGTTAGTGACACTGATCCTGCAGCAGTTCAGGATTCAGCTGTCAGTGAATGTTTCAGAAAACTTAAACATTCTACTTTCAAGAATAGATACATTATGTGTCTAATACATAACATTTTGTATCTATTCTTGAAAGTCAAAAGAAAAAAAAAAAAAAAGCCAGTATAGCTTGAGAGAGATATCTCTCGATCTATACGAGCTGTCAGAATGCCGGCCAAAGCCGACATGTGTGTCTGCTTTGCTGTGACTCTCAGACACCCGATATTAAGGTATCGGGTGTCTGAAAAAGGTTAACCCTTTCAGTAATGGATCTCTAGATAGTTAGACATCTATTACTGAAAGGTAACCGCTGATTCTCAGCGGTTAGCAGCCTTCTAGTGCAGCAAATAACTCGTCACGTACAGTGTACGTGACGAGTCATTTGGTCCCTCTGTGGCTGGACGTACAGTGTACGTCTCCCGTCACGAAGGGGTTAAAGTAACAATTCTACATTTGGTGAAAAACAAAATAAAAAGTAATATTCTCTTGGTCAAGTGTATATCTTGCAAGGATTACAGCAAACGTTATCATCCTTACCTGATTCTGTTTTGTAGATTCTGATAAGCCATTTCATGTGCTTGCTGAAATCTTTAAAGGAGAGGTGTACTTTTAAGAAAACCTTTGCTAAACCATGCCCTACTAAGCTAAACTGCACTCACCCCACCCTAGCTTCTTGCATACCCCCATTGAGGAGATGCAGCCTTCTCTGATGTTTACAGCCTGTTGCATTAAAATCTCTCCCCA